GGACCACTGAGGCAGCTGGAACGCACCACCTGTGGCCACGAAAACAATTTAGGGAAATCGTGCTGTCCTGTTTCCAGGTACAGTAGAATGTGCTCTCTAAGACTAGTATGATAACAATCAATGGAATAGTTATTCAATCGATAAGGCATTCAATCGAATAGGATGATTTATACAATTCAGAAAATCAAAGTAACTTTTATATTGTTAAGCCAAACAATAGGGTTAGAGTTAAACTACAGTTTCCACCTGAAATGGTTGCTACCATACTTCACCATTAATCTCACAAACATGCTACTACAATCCCTATTTTAAGATAGAAAAATTAGGTTTGAAAAGATTATATACTTTGTTCTATGTTAGTCTAAGGGTAAAGGGAATGCCAGGGTTTAAACCTAAATTATTAAACTCCAAAGTGTATGCACTTTCACATCAAAGAGGGGGGAGAAAGTACCTTTTGAAGGGCATTGAGCTATCTAGTAAAGGTAAGAGGGTAGTATTAAGATGTTTCTGTAAAAATGGCTATTATGACGGGGGGAAAAGATGTCTTTGAAAAAATACCCATTAGCTTAGAAAAAAAAGCAATGCTCAGAAAATAAGTGAAATGTCATGTTAAAGTAGCAAGGAAAGCCAGATTAAATGAGAATTAATCTTCATAGTTAAAACAGTTGAAAGTAGCTGAGAAAGAACCCATGGACAATAAAAGAAAATCTGCTGTAAAAATACTGAGGAGAATGAATAGTTGATAATTTTCAGTATCAGTAACCAAATATTGCAGTATAATTAATGGCTTATTGAAACTACTTTTTGTCATCACTCTAGATAAAAAACCACTGTAATCGAATATCTGTAATTTGATATCTTTATATGTATTCAAATGCACAAAACATTTATATTTTATAATAATTGTATTTAAAAAGGCAAGTTCCATTCTTCAAAGAATTTTTATTTCATCTACATTTAAAAAATTGATGGTATAAAGTTGTTATAATATTCCATTCCTGTCATTTTTATTGCTGTGAAGTCACCAGTGATGTCTCATCTTTTATTTGTGATGCTGGTAATTATTGTTTACCCTACTTTTCTTGATCACTATAGCTCTGAATTTAATAATCTCACTGATCTTTACAAAATACAACTTTTGATATTGTCAATATCACCTTATTTTCTGTTTTCTATTTACTCGGTTTTTATTCTAACCTTTTTCATTTCTTTCTTCGCCTTACTTAAATATGTTATTTCTTTTAGTTCTTAAGTTGTAACTTAGATCATTATGTATTTTAAAACCTGTCTTATTGTAATATGTCTTTAATATTATACTTTCCCTTTAACCACTGAATTACCAATATCCAACAAAGTTTTATATGTCGTGTTTTAATTATCAGTCAATTTGAAGTATTTTCTAATTTCCCTTTTGGTTTCTTATTTGACTCACTGGTTATTTAGTAGAGTGTTGCTTAACTATCGGGTGTTCAAAAACTTACCAAATATTTTATTGTTATTGATTTCTAGTTTATTCCTATTGTGATTAGAGAAAATATGCTGAAAGATTCCAATTTTTGAAATTTATTATGATTTTTTAAATTACCTACTATATGGTTCATTGTGGAAAATAGTCCAAGTGCACTTGAAGAGATGGTGTATTCTGCAATTGTCAGTACATGTCAATTTGGTCAATTTGATGAATAAGGTTGTTTACATCTTTAATAATCTACTGATTTGTGTGTACTTATTCTATCAGTTATTTGGAAAGTGATGTTAGAATCTCCAATTATGATTATGGATATGCCTTTCTTTCATTTAATTCAGGCAATATTTTTTGCTCCATGTATTTGAAGCTCTGTTGTTTATTAGATACATTTTAAAATATTTGTCTTCCTGATGAAACTGTTTATCATCAGGAAATGTCTCTCTGAAAATATTCTTGTATTAAAGTCACTTTGTCTGATATTAATATAATCATGTCAACTTTTTATGCTTATGATGTTTACATTATATCTTTTCCATTGTTGACTTTCAACTCACCTGTACCTTTATATTATAAAGCTTATCTGTTTACTAAATGCTACACATTATGGGGTTTTCTAGTTTTGCATTTTGAGTCCTGGAAAGAGAGTTAATTGCCTACTAGAACAATTAAATAGCAATGTTTAAAACAATACAACAGAACTCAGAGTCTTTACAATGCTAACACTTACGAGATTTGCAAAGAAACAGAAACTTATGACCTTTGCTCAAGAAGAAAAGAGCATTAATAGAAATTGCCTCTGAGTGGGACCAATTGTTAAGATTTAGCAAAGATTTCAAAGCAGCTGTAAAAAATAATATGTTCAAAGAAAAGAAAAGGTATTTGAAAATTAATGAAAATATGATGTCAATGAATGTTTCAGATAGGAAATCTCAACAGAGAAATGCAAACTATTAAAAATGGGTATTGCAAAGTTGAAAGATAAAATAACAAATAAGTATTCAGTAGATGGACTCAACACATGAGAAATGGCAAAAAAAAAAAAAAAAAAAAAAAAAGAAAGAAAGAAAGAAAAAAAAAGGAGAAAGATTCAGCCCTTGCTTGTTTGGCTCAGTGGGTAAAGCCTCAGCCTGCGGACTGAAGGTTCCCCAGGTTCAATTCCCGCCAGGGGCACATGCCCAGGTTGCAGGCTCCATCCCCAGTAGAGGGCGCACAGGAGGCAGCCAATCAATGATTCCCTCTCATCATCAATGTTTCTATCTCTCCCTCTCCCTTTCTCTTTAAAATCAATAAAAATATATTTAAAAAAGATTCAGTAAATTTGAAAAAAGATCAGTTCTTCTTCTCTGGGACTTCAGAGATATTTAGAGATCCAGTGAATATACGAATGAGACAATTAGGTGCTAATAAATCTGTAACCCAAGAAAATAATTAAGTACTATAGATAGTGTTGTACTGGGGAGGGGGAGAGAAGGCAGGTCAATGTAGGAAAGAACACTTTTAACAAATCTTGAAAGATAATGCCAATTATATGCAAGCAGCATAACAAACTATCAGACCGATTCGGGAGTAATATCTTTCCTGGGCTATTTGGCATTTATAATTTACATTTTGCTCTAATAAAATATAAACACATTTTCTTATTAACATCTTCAGAGTGTATCTGTCCTTGAAGTCAATTCTAGGAAGACCCAAATCAAAATCTCATCAAGTTTATGTTTCAAAGCCTCAACATTCAAGGTTTTTGCAATCAATAGAAGCAATGTTTAAAAACCTAATTTCACCTGTTGCCTTGCATGGGGAGACCGATACAGGGAGGAGGCAGCTGAGGGAGGAGGGGGAAACAGGCCTTTGCAGTCCCTTCAGTGTAGGGGCGCTAGAGGGAGCGATTTTCCAGGCCAAATGCAGGTAACCTTGGCCCAGTTCGGAACTCCTGCGGTGCAGCTGGGAGGAGCGGGGAGGGGTGGAGGCGGGAGAAGCTGAACGGTTGGGGTGGAGGGCGGGGAGTGGGGGGAGGTGGGGTGTGCCTGGGCTCGTGGGCGGCCAGAAGGCTGGCAGAAAACGTTGGCGCCCAACTGCGCCCCGGGCTATCCCATCAGCACCCACAGGAAGCGCAGCAGGGCCTGGCCACACGCCGCCCCTGCCGGCCGGGCCCCAGGTACTCAACCTGGTGGAGCTTGTCCACAAAGGCCACAGGCCTAGACAAAGCGGCCGACTTAGATCTGGGGTGTGTGTGTGTGTGTGTGTGTGTGTTTCTTCCTGTTGTTTAAACACATCCGTGGAGCTTAAAGGAGGCTGTGTTTTGTGCAGGGCTTGTTGGGGGAATCCACACGATTTGCTGGGATGTAGTCTGGTTGCTCTGGGTCACGCCTTTGTTTCACACTAGTGTTTGCTGTCACACTCACAGACACGCTCGCTCTCAAAGCCCCTGACGGCACTGAACAGGTATTTGGGCCTCGCTGGTTGCACACCTGCGGACAGTTTATGCTGTGCTCCCTACAACTAGTAGCCTGGTTCTAAAAATGAAGTCTCCCGGGAAGGGTGTGGGGCGGGGGGGTGAGGGTGGGGGCTCTCCAGCAAGATCCATGAGCATGTTCAGAGGGAACGTGTGCTGATGAAAACAGAGAACATAATGCTCCAGGAAAACAAACACAACTATTTTTTTAAATTTTTTATTGATTAAGGTATTACAAATGTGTCTTTATCCCCCCATTGTCCCCTCATCCCCCCAGTCTTGCCCTCACCCTCACCCCCTGTTGTCTGCGTCCATCGCTTATGCTTATATGCACGCATACAAGTCCTTTGGTTGATCTCTCCCCCTTACCTCCACCCTCCCCTACCTTCCCTCTGACGTTTGAGCATCTGATGGATATTTTTAAGAAACTCTACCTCCTTACATTCTTACCTTGCTCAGGCTTCTTGTGTTAGGAAGACGTTTGGCTGCTGTACCTCAGCATTAGCAGAGCGCCCAGCAGGGAGAGGCCTTTGGAACACTGGAGTCTCTTGGGGGGGGGGGGGGGTGGTGGTGGTGGTACATAAGCCGACATGGAAGGGAAATGTCTACGGTGCATGAAGATGTTGCTTGAACGCATAAACAGGACATGATTTAAATTTCTCTGAAATGTTTTCTATTTTTCTCCCCTTTTTCGTGCGATAGTGGATAAATGGCAGGCAAAAAGCGAGAAATCCAGTTACAGGTAGGCACGACCTAGCAGCAATTCTTTACTTGGTGCACTGGCACTTGAAGGCCGTTTACAGCGCCTTCCGTTTTGCAGACTGTCATCAATAGTCAAAGCCTCTGGGATGAGATGTTGCAGAACAAAGGCCTAACAGGTACTGGGGCTCCCCCATTGACCAGTAACCTGGAGTTTGGCCCAGGGCACCCCATGGCACCCCAGCACAGAGCACGGCTCCCCACTCCACACAAAGCCCTGCTATGTCTTTGCCCTTGGCCAGCACCAGCCCTGGGATAAGCTGCTCTTTCAGAAGCTTTGATTCTGTCCTTTCATAAATATCATCATCTTCTAGTGATCGATGTTTACCAAGCCTGGTGCGGACCCTGCAAAGCAATGCAGACGTTATTCAGGAAGCTGAAAAATGAGCTGAACGAAGATGAAATTCTGCATTTTGTTGTAGTAAGGATTTAATTTCCATAAAACTATTGTTTCCTTGTTACTTTAGGTGTTAAAGCGTTCTCTTTAAGGATTGTCTTGATTTAAACAACCTGTCAACTCTTCAAAATGGACCACAGTGATTACTGGGTAGTTTTACTATATGCTTAGTTCTACCTGATCTGAGAACAAACGAGATTTTTACCCCATGCCTATAACGTTGAGGTTATTGACCATGGTTGTGAACATTAGAAAAGTATAGAAATGGTTATCTGTTTATTGATATTTCTTTTCACCTGACCTTATGCAATGTGTCTCTTAGAATAAGGGCTGCAAATACTATTTACTGAATAGCTTTGAGAAGGACTCTGGGCATTTACCAGGTAGCAATTTTCTAATGATAGTGATTTCCCTCATTTATTTGACACCCAAAGGATTAAAATATTATAGCCGAACTCATTGTATTTTTCAATGTATCCACATTAAATCATTAACTACTGAGAGCTTTGTTATCTAATATGGTGGCCACTAGGCACAAGTGTCTTTTGAGCACTGAAATATGCTAGTGTGACTTAGGAACTGAATTTTTTAAATTAATGTATTTAAATTAGAAAACTATACTCAATTCAATTATTGTAAAATTTTTAGAGTTGCTTGCGAAAACTTGGGTATGTGAATCTACTTTTTTTTAACTGTAAATTTTATGAAATCAAATTAGAGACCATTATTTATGATTGAAATTTAGCCCATAAATTGAGAAGTACCCTAAGTGTAAAATACACACTAGATTTTGAAGACTTAGTATGAAGAAAAGTATGTGAAATGTCTCAATAATGTTTACATTGATCACATGTTAAAATGATCACATTTTGGATATATTATCGTATAAGAAAGTTGTATTGTTAAATATAATATTAGTTTCACCTGTTTCTCTTTAGTTTTTCAATGTGGCTACTAGAAAATTTAAAAGTATAACTGTGGCTCACATTCTGTTTCTATTAGGCAGAAACATGTCCAAACCACCTAGACCTAAGATGCAGAAGCAGATAACTAATTACATATCTTTACTCCCTACCCCTACAAGGCATAATCCTTGAAGCAAACATGAAACCTCAACACGTTGCATGTTTCAGGCCTTCCTTGACCCCTTCCAACCCAGACCTTGGAATGAGATTGCTTACTGACCTCAACCTGTGTTTGACTGTCCTTTCTATAAATAAGCAAGCTCAAGCTTGGGAACTCAATTCTAATTCCTCTTCTTCTTCTTCTTCTTCTTCTTCTTCTTCTTCTTCTTCTTCTTCTTCTTCTTCTTCTTCTTCTTCTTCTTCTTCTTCTTTTTTTATCTTCAAGACAGTAAGTGGCAAAGAACCAATAAGAAAAAGAAAAAAAAAGTAAAATATAATGAGAGAGTAGTTGGCTATAGACAATCCTTAAATCTTTTTGTCTAGAAAAGTTTTTAAAAAATATATATTTTAGAGAGAGAAAGAGAAACATTGTGAGAGAGAAACAGTGATTGGTTGCCTCCCACACACACCCCAACCAGGGATGGAACTCGCAACCTGGGTATGTGTCCTGACTGGGAATGGAGCTCACAGTTCTTCAGTGCATGGGATGATGCTCCAATCAACTGAGCCACACTGGCCAGGGCGGGCCCTTGTAGTGCTTTAAAAGGCAGCTTTCCATAACAACCTGCTTTACTCTGAAGAGTCAGAACTACCCGAATAGGGCCGGAATGTGATTCTAAAGTTGATCCTTGGCAGGGAGGAAAACCTAGTTTCAGAGAACAGAGAGTGGGGCCTAAAGGGAATTAGCACATGCAATAGAAAGCGGGTTGGTATAAGAAGTTAAAAGACAGTATCAGAAGGATCTAACAGCTGGCAAATGGATCACAGACCATCAAGCATCATCAGAAAATTCTATTAATCTTGTGTTGTTAGGCTCCTAACTCAGCATACACGGCTCAGAGCTGTGTGAGGATACAGGCGTGGGGTTTATGACTGTCCTCCCAGCAGTACCCAGACCAGACGGAACTCCTCAGCCTACTCCACAGGCCATGACTTTGTCTATCCCACTGGGAAGTGCTAGTAATCTTTACAAAATATGCCTAACTACCATACATGCATCTGTTAAGTTTTAAAAAAAAAATGTGCGCATTGTCCTTGAATGGTTTCTGTTCTGTTATGTTTGAGCGCATTCAACAATAGTATATTCACATAGATTGATGCTGTTTTTCTATGACTTGCTCCTAAAGGGTAAAGAAAATGAATTACAATGTCCATTGTAAACAATGGACAGTCGCCCTCTGCTGGATATTTTACTTTCTGCAGCTAGCCAAGGAAGGGGACCTTTCTGAACTTGTAAATTTAAATCCAAAATTAAGACCTATGACATTGATTACCTTTTACATCACCCTAAGTTTAATGGTCATATACTTTTTTCCCCCTGTTATGTTCCCTTTTAAAAGACTGGGAGACTTGCACTAACATTGTACCAATACATATAAAATTCAGTAAAACTTATTTATTGTTCTTTTATAATGTTACTAGGGACCCGGTGCATGAAATTCGTGCACTGAGGTGGGGGGAGCTCCCTCAGCTCAGCCTGCCCCCTCTCACATACTGGGAGCCCTCAGGGGATGTCCTACTGATGGCTTAGGCCCACTCCCTGCTCCCCTTGGGGAGCGGGCCTAAGCTGCACCCTGGCCTCCCTTTGTGGGAGGTGACCGGGCTGATCAGGGGAAGGCACCAGCCCCATCACCCCGCTGCTGCAGCCACTGCCAGTCACCGCAGCCACCAAGGTGTTTTCATCAACACGGACTCCAGTCCCTTCACCATGAAAAAATGACACCTTTCTTTAGGCATTTTCAAGATGTGTCTTTCATAGGATATAACATTTCTTTCTTTATTATTATTTTTTTTATCCTCACCTAAGGATATATTTCCATTGTTTTTTAGAGAATGTGGAAGAGAAAGGGAAAGACAGAGAGAAACATCAAAGTGAGAGGAACACTTTGATTGGTTGCCTCCTGCATGAGCCCTGACCGGGCCCAGGCCAGGGAGGAGCCTGCAATGTAGGTACATGCCCTTGGTCAGAATTGAACCCAGACCCTGCTATCGGCAGGCCGAGGCTCTATCCACTGAGCCAAACCGGCTAGGGCAGGATATGACATTTCTTAGCCCTAAAGCAGCAGACCTTCGTTTTTTTCTCCAGGAGTGTGGTAGAAAAACCCTAGGTCACCTTATTGGATTCTTATTACCCAAGTTACTAAGAATATTACCATTGGCATACAGGGAGCTTAGCCAATGAGTGGTCAGAAAAGGTGTTTCCTCTGTAGTTTACACCGATCCCTGGCTTGGCCCCTGCCCAGGCCTAAGGCCTCTGGCCAGGGCTTTAGGCCTAGGTAGGGGACCCCCAGCTCCCTCCAATTGCCAGCTCCGCCTCTGCTCCCTCCAATCGCCAGCTCTGCCCCTGCTCCCTCCCATTGTGGGCTGCGCCCCTGCCCAGGCCTAACACCTCTGGCCGAAGAGTTAGGCCTGGGCAGGGGTCCCCTCGGCTCGGATCCCAGGCTCAGGCCATGCCCAGGAGCCTCCTGGCTCAGGCCCTTCCTGGGCTGCTCAGGGCCCACACGGGGCCTACCTTGGAGTGACCTGGGTGCCCAATGATGTTTGTGGGACCCAGGCCACTGGGCGCCTATGTATGCAAATTAACCACCAACTTTATGGGGTTAATTTGCATACTCCCCTGATTGGCTGGTGAATGTAGCAGAGGGATGGTCAATTTACGTTTGTCTATTATTAGGCAAGATTAAATGCTTTACCTGTTAGTACTTTGTTATGATACTAGGGGCCTGGTGCATAAAATTCATGCACTCGGGGAGGGGCTCTCTCAACCCCGCGGGTGCCCTCTCACAGTCCAGGACATTCTTAGCGCTGCCATGGAGGCAGGAGAGGTTCGCCAGTCATGAGCCCAGCTGTGGCTGAGCGGCACTCCCCCTGTGGGAGCACACTGACCACCAGAGGGCAGCTCCTGCGTTGAGCATCTGCCCCTGGTGGTCAGTGCATGCCATAGCAACTGGTCATTCCACTGTTTGGTCAATTTGCATATTAGCCTTTTATTATATAGGATAAACATTATAATAATGATATCTGATTACTTTAAAATAAAATATTTGACTTCTAGTCTTTAATATGATAGATTACTTTCAGCCTCTTTCATTCTTTTTTTGGGTGGTGGTGTGGGGTGGGTGGGTGTGGGATACCATAAAGGTGAACAGCCAGAAGTCAGGTTGAGGCCAAATGATGCAAGGACTGGCATGCCAGTGTTTGCAATTTGATACTTAAAACAACTACTGTATACTAAGAGAATGTTGAGTAAATATAAAAGTAAAATTTATGTGTATCTGTGTTTGTTTGGGTTTTTTTTGTATATGGTGTAGCTAATGACTTGTTATAGTTTCCTATATTATCATGTGAAATATTAATATATTTTTTCCAGGCTGAAGCTGACAGCGTTGCGACTTTGCAGCCATTTAGAGATAACTGTGAACCTATTTTTCTTTTTAGTGTTGTAAGTATAATATTTATTTTCTCGAATGTATTATCAGATTCCAATTTATAGTTAAAGAGCAAGTAGCATTATAAAATTACCACAGAACTCTTTTCTGATGAAAGTCATTATAGATTTTTTACTTCATCTTTGCTTATCTATTAGTATATTTTCTATAACCTGCCTTCTAGGGGCTAAAAATGGATTGAGAGATTAGACTTCCACACACTGAGCTGGTCACAGATGTATTTACCTTTCTTAAAGAAATAATCAGACAGCCCAGCCAGCGTGGCCCAGTGGCTGAGTGTTGACCTATGAGCCAGGAGGTCACGGTTCAATTAGGATGAGGGCACATGCCCGGGTTGTGATCCCCAATGGGAAGCGTGCAGGAGGCAGCCAATCAATGATTCTCTCTCATCATTGATGTTTTATCTCTCCCTCTTCCTTCCTCTCTGAAATCAATAAAAAAAATATTTTTAAAAAATAAATAATCAGACATTTGTATGATGAATTATTATTTACAGGAGTGAAAAAATTGGAAATTTCTTAGATACCTAGGAGGAGAGATTTGGTTATAAATATTCATATATACCAATCCAAGGAAATAGCTGTGTGATCACTATTTTGTAATATATATTGCTTCTATCTCTGTGTTTGCCAATGAAGACAGAAAGTGCATTCATCAGACTGTCTATGTATGGGGAAAGGATGTATAATTTTATTTTTCTTCTTTATACTTTTGTATATTTTCCAAATATTCTGTGGTGATCACACAACTTGAATAATCAGAAGACCGTAGTACGTGCTGTTTTCTTAGAGGAGGGTGCCCAGTTAAGTGCTAACTCGTGTGACAAGAGTGTGGCTGCTAGAGAACCAGGGTGGTAAGGAAAGGCCTTGCACAGAGGGCAAGGACCTCCTCTGCTGCTGGGCACTTCAATTCTCACCTTTTACATTAAAAATAATGACCTGAAAACACTTCTTGGATATAACATTTCCCTTCTGTTAAATAATACTCTTGCCATGACTTCAAGGAACTGAATTACTGGACTCAACGAGTTTAAAGTTGCATTGCAGATCTAGATATGGAGGATTTGATGAGTGAGATCAGGGGTCAGCCAGCTTCTTCTGTGAAGGGCTGGATACGAAGTATTTTCAGCTTTGCCAAAACACTGGCTCTGCGTTGGGTCATAGTTTGCTAACCGCTGGCCCGGAAGCTGTTTAGGGAATCAGAATGAGTAACTGCTTGAAGCAGGAAGGGGCTGAAGCAAATGGGACCGTGAGGAGACTCTAGCAGCAGCAGCAGTTAGGAGCATGGGACTGAAAAAGAAAGACTGGAGCTCTGGGATGACCAACCCCCTGCCAAGTTAGCCAGGCCTGGTCAGTAGATCTTAAATGGACCATCCAGTCAACGTTCTTCTACCTGCAACCACATCCTTCTAATACTCAGAATTTTTTTTCTGGCCCATTTCTCTAGTCCTCCCCCATCTTTCAAACCCTTCTCCCATGTGGCATCTGGAATTGGTGTAAGCAGTTGTCTAGCTTCTAAGAACTTCACCCTGGGTTCTGAGCTTTTGTTCCACTTCCTTGACTTTCCTTCAGTCAGGTTCCTTACTTAGGGCACTTTCCCTGCTGCCCAGAACTGTTTTCTCAGATTGTTCTTGAGGCCAGGAGTAGAATTGATGTTTCTTTATTTTTCACTACAATGAACATCTTTTCCTTATTTGTTGGAGGCCCACTCAATTTGACTCATTCTCCCCACCTTATTCCTGTCATTTACTGGTCTTCGGCTCAGTTGTGTGGATGACTGACGACTTGAGCTTGTGGCTTAAAGTCTTCATTTCACACCCATGTCCTGCCATCATGCTGGACTTCAGTATCTACACTGACAATCTACCCAGTATCCTGGGCTCTCAATTTGTTTTTTTAATCTTCACCCAAGGATATGTTTTTATTGATATTTAAAGAGAGAGGGAGGGAGAGAGAGAGAAAGAGAGAGAGAGAGAGAGAGAGAGAGAGAGAGAGAGAGAGAGAGAAACATTGATCTGTTGCCTTCCATATACTCTCTGGCCGAGGATTGAACCTGCAATCTAGGTATGTGCCCTGGCCAAGAATCGGACCTGCACCTTTTGAGGTACATATGGATCAACGCTCCAACCAACTGCACCCCCCTGGCCAGGACTGGACTCTCAATTCTTGACCACCTAACTTTCAATGAACTTTTCTTGCAGTGCACCTCATTCAATCACGCCTGCGTTTACGCCTCCGACTTTGTTATCACTTATGCTTCATATTCATAAGCCTTAGGAGTCTCAATCTGTAACCACAAAACTATCATCAAGCCCATTGTTAGTTTATTCAAATATTCCCACAATGGCCCATCGCATTGGCCAGCATTCTTAGCTGACAACATATTCTCTCCAGCAAGTTTCATCAGGAAGGGCTGTTTCAAGAAAGCTCACCGAATTGTTGGAAAGTTCCTCTTAATAGAAAATGGTAATTAGAATGTCGGGTTTCGTTTAAGCCTTTCTCAACTACATCCTTCTCATTGGCCTCTGACTATGAGTAAGTCTTTCCAATTAAAACAGAATGCTTCTTTTTGATGCCATGTCCTTCCCCAGCTCCCACCCATCTCTCTCCTTTAGTTCACAGCTACATTTCTCAGAAGAGTTTTTATGTCTATTTTTACTCCATTTCTTCTCATCCCGTTAACGTCACACCCATTCAATCTAACTTCTGTCTGATTATTCCACCAAATTTACTGTTGCTAATGTATCCAATTGCCAGCCTATTGCTAAATATAATGAATACTTTTAGGTCTTCATCATACTGTACCTCTCAACTGCATTGAATACAGTGACCAACCAGTCTTCCTTTGGAAACATTTGCTTCTTTTGTTTTTTTGTGTGGCTTGGTTCTTTTGCCTTTTCAGATGGCCTCCCCCTCCACCCCCGCCAATCTCCTTTGCAGACTTATCCTTCATTACTTAGCTGTTAAATATTGACTTTATCATGCCATATACTTTACTCAGAAAATCTCCACACATGTCTCAGTTGTCACCTCTGATGTATCAATAACTCAAGTTTACATCTTCAGCTAAACCCTATGCTTGAGCTCCAGACTTGAGTGTCTAACTGGTGCCTTGACATTTCCTCTTGGTTGTCTCAAGGGCATCTCACAATGAACTGATCCAATCCTCCCTCTCTGCAGAAAACATGGTCTTCTAGTGTTGCCTCTTTGGGTAAATAACACCTTAATTGATCCAGTTTCTCAAGCCAGAACTGAAAGTTGTCTTAGCGACTTCTCTTTTACGTCACACCCAATCCACACCAGACCTTGGACCTATCAATTTTACCACCCAAGTTTTCCTCACACTATCTGTTTTGTTTGTTTTCCATCATCACCGCCAGAGACTGAGCAGCCATCTCTCTCATCATCACTTCTAGAGTAGCTTCGAATTTGTGTATCTTCTCCTGCTCCCCCTCTAATCCTTTCTCTACATGTAGGTGAAATGATCTTAACAAACAACAGTTTTAATCATGGTCACTGCCTCTGTTTAAATATTCTGAAGGCTTCCCAGTGCTGTTAGGCTAAAACCAAGAGGAATTGAATCAGTGACCTATTGGTACATGGGTTGACACTCTGTGCCAAACTGGCCAGGCACTGAGACCTTATTTTTAAATGGCTAATACAATTGTAAGAAAGGGATGATGGAAGTATGAGTCAGGGTGGGGTTACTTAGTTTAGTTGAAGTGTTAATTATTGACTTACCTTGAAAATGAATGTTTCCTTCATGTTTTCTTTTCCTTTATAGAATGGCAAAATTGTTGCAAAGATTGAGGGTGCAAACGCACCACTTGTTAATAAAACAGTTATTAACTTGGTGAATGATGAGAAGAAAATTGCAGCAGGTGAAATCGTTCGCCCTCAGGTAATACTTTGTACTCCTGGCTATATTATTTTATAAATATCTATGACATCTTTTTTTGTTGTTTTCCTAAAGCACTGTCCCTAATTTTATAACTATCTAGGTATCTAAATGTTGCAAAGTTTCTGGGAAGTATCTTGGCAATATGAATCAAAGGCCCTAAAAAAAAACAGGTATCCTTTGAGCAATTATGCTCCCAATAAATTTTCCTAAGATAATGAGACAAATATAGAAAATGCTTATTGCATTGTTGTCTGTTATTAAACACTGGGGGCCCAGTGCACAAATTCGTGCACCTTGAAAGGAACCGTGGGCACAGGGGTGGGTCTCAGCCCATTCTCCAGGCCCCCACCCAGACCCTCCCGCCGTAGGCCCCTGTACCCTGTTTGCTGGCAGCCCCGCTTCTGCCGCTGCTGCTCCCACGCACTGATGGCACCGGCCCCACTCGCCCCTGCTGACGGCGTGGAGCGATAGGGGCTGGTGCCAGCAACAAGTGCGAGTGTGGCTGGCGCCATCAGTGGTGTGAGTGGCGGCTGCTGCCCCGATTTCCCCTCAGGAGCAGGGGGAGGTGGAGAAGTCCTCAGGTGTGATCGGGGCGCGCAGCCGCCGCTTGCACCTGTTGATTGCGCCAAGTGATTGGGACTGGTGGCACTGGGGGCCAGCAGCAGGTGCGAGCATCAGCTCCGACGCCGGCTGCGGGTGTGAGTGCTGGGTAGGACCGCGGCGCATGGGAGCAAAGAATTTTCAGTAACCACCAGAGGCTTGCCCCGATGACAGTGACCGGTGCCCTGCCTTGGTCTGGTGCCCCTGCTCACCTCCTCCACCATCCGGCTGCAGCTGACACCCGCCATGTCCCGCGCGTGCCCTCTGGTGGTCAGTGCACGTCATAAGAACTGGTTGTTTGGTTTTGGTTGTTTTGTTGTTCGGTTGTTCTGCTGTTGGGTCTATTTGCATATCAGGGTTTTATATATATAGATTTGGAATTAGTCAACGGAGAAGATGGCGGTGGAATAGGATGATCTTGCTTGCATCTTTTGCTGGAACCAAGCTAGAAGTAAAATGCAATTAGGGAACGTTCATTCTGAATTGGCAACCGAAGACTAGTTAAAGAAGAGATTTTTTAAACAAGGAAAAACAGAAACCACCTCAGGACTGGTAGGAAGAGCAGGGGTCATGAGAAAGGATGGCCCGGCTCCCAGGGGCAGCAGGCCAAGGGTGCGGAGGGATATCCGGGCTGGGGTGGGTCTGTTTCCCCCTTGAGAGGAGTGAGGCCTGGACCCCCATCTGAGCTTCCCATCCCAGAGTACCAGAGCTGGGAATAGCCACCTATATAGCACCCAGGGTTGAAGGGCTTGGGGCTTCTAAGAGATGGATCGTGCCGGGGACAAATCCTCTTATTTTTTAAAGGGTCAGAGCACAAGATTTTTGTTCACAGCCACTCACCCTGGACTTCGGCAGAGGGAGGGCAGTGCAACTGGAGTCACCTGAGGAGAGTCTGGGGTGGGATGCACTGGGAAAAGACATGGGAGAGAAGCTTCCAGGATTCCAGTGCTTGATCCTCCCCATTGATACCACAGCATCCATCCCCCCCCCCCCCCCAGGCACAGCCCCTCCCATCAGCAGCAGCCTGGGGAAGCTCCTCCCATTTCTGGAATCCCCGCTGGCCACACCCTGCATCTCAACCCCCACTGAGGAGGCAGTAGCGGGTCTATGGGTTGTCAGACTCAGGGGGCATTGGTGACTGGCTTCGGGGTGGAACCATTTCCCTCCCTTTCCCAGGAATCTGAGTGGCACTCCCGGCTCCCAGCAGACCCCAGTGGCCTGCCTTCGAGGGGCTCCACCCTCCTGAGGTCAGGGAAATATTCCAGGACATGGGTGGCGGCAGGTCCTAAGGAATCTGCTCCTGGGCCCCATGCTGCTAACATGTGGGTCTTGGAGCACTGCTTGGCCCCTCCCATGTGCAGCCCAACTCAGCAGAGGCAGATACAAACTGTGGATCATTAGAAGCTTTGATCAGGTTGCCGAGAGCCGATTATAGACAGCTTCTGACATTGGCTAGCACCCAAGTACCCACTGGGAGGCCTGTGAATGGCACACAAAATAGCCAGCCTTATACATCATCAGCACAAGACCCAAAGGGAGATCTCAGCAGGCACTAAACACCCCAAGACCTCAGTTTGTTCTTTATCATTCTTTTTAGTTTGGGGCTCTAGCAGTCTGAGACACCTCGCTGCAGCGGAGCAGGGAGAGGCTCCCGCCACCGCTACTGCACTTGCCAGCCATGAGCCTGGCTTCTGTGGGAGCGCGCTGACCACCAGGCGGCCAGCTCTTGCACTGAGTGTCTGCCCCCTGGTGGTCAGTGTGCATCATAGCAACTGGTCGTTCTGGTTGTTCCACTGTAAAAATTGCTTAGGCTTTTATTATATAGATATATACAGAATCACAGAAGCACTTTCAGGGCTTCTCAAGTAATGAAGACCCCCACCACTGCCCCCACCCATTCTAGTATATCACTCTATAGTAAGCAATGAACTATTGTTTTGAGCAAGACTTCTTTTTAAGTTAAGGTGTTATCTTTCTGTTTCTAATTTACTAATAGTAATAGTCAGGAATGGATCTTGAAACTTATCAAATCTTTTGATCTTTTAATATGATAATTATGTATTTATTATTTTCTTGTTAATCTATGCTTCTTTCTTATTTTGTTCCTTGTACTCTTCTTAAGTTTTAAAGTTTTTTTTTTAAACCATTTCCATACAGCATATATACATTATTTATGATAGTTCCCCTACCCTATCTATTTAACATATTCTTTATCCTGTTTTAGTGGAATGTTTGGGAAAAGCAGTATTAGATAAATGCAGGCACATTTCCACTTTACCTTTTATCCCTTCGATTACAAATGTTTATCAGAAATAAAATTTCTAAAAACTCACTACCACATTAAAATGTAATTGTTTTACTTGCATTTTTCTTCCATAGTATCATGAAATTGGACTTGCAGGCTCAAGTACAGAATTTGCCAAGACAGCATCCAAAGATACTATGGGTAAGAAAATTTAAAGTAATGGCAAGGGATTTGTAGTAGATGGATGCTCATTACAGCATCACCTAAAGTAGCAAAGAGCTGGTAATAGCATCAGTATGAATTGATAAGGAACTGGTAGGATAAATTATGATTTGTGCAATACTAGATCCAGTTATTAAAAGGAAACCTCTTTTTCCCAGCAGGTGTGGCTCAGTGGTTGAGCATCGACCTATGAATCAGGAGGTCATCGTTCGATTTCCAGTCAGGGCATGTGGTTAGGGCACATGCCCGGGTTGCGGGCTCCATCCTGTGTGGGGCGAGGCAGCCAATCAGTGATTCTCTGTCATCACTGATGTTTCTGTTTCTCTCTCCCTCTCCCTTCCTCTCTGAAATCAATACGAAAAAATATTTTTTTAAAGAAATTTCTTTTGCTTCCCTTCCCCTTGTCTTTGCTCTCTATGTCGGAGCCTTTCAGGACCAGTGCCTACCTCGTCTGTTTTTTGTGTTTATTTATTTATTTATTTATGTATTTATTAATTTACAACTACTACTATTATTATTTGTACTACAAACTCTTGTGAATGTTTCTCTTGTATGCAAATGTAGGATGTGCACTTTGATTCCAAATAGAACCTCTTTGGTAGTTGAAATGCCGCAATAAGAACAAAGCTGTCAATGGACAAAAATTCACTGGACATCAGTAGTTTACATTTTTAATTACTAAAACCTTCATTATCTAGACTTAGTGCCAAGACAATGAAATTTTTCTATTTATTTTTTCCCAGGCCGAATATACAGTATTGCTATTATCAAACCCGAGGCTAGGAATACTGGAAAAACTACGGAAATTAAAGAAAATGTAAGTAATATTTCACAATAATAGTTTCAATTAACTGAAAAATAACAACCCCTTAGTTGTCAATTTAGAGATGAGCTTATCATGTAGAGTGAAATAGAACATAATGAACTCTGGTGCCTCTAATGGCTTTAAATGTTTTGTCTTTAAAGGGCCAGAACCACTCAGGCATCCTTATTTAAATAACTCCGTTCTATCAGATTGCAGCAAATGTTTTTCATGTTGAGTGAAAACTTGTTATAAGCTCACATTAGCTTGCTTTATTCCCTATATGTTGTCATAAATGTATGGTCCTTTTTAGATACATGATAGCTTAAGGTTGTATCTAATATTTTGCTTTAGAGAAAAAAAATGTTAGAGGAAAATTGCATTCTAATCCAAAGGTCAACAGACATTTTCTCTAAAGGGTCATTTAGTAACTATTTTCAAGTTTGTGGGTACATGGCCTGTCCCAACTCTGCGATCATATGGAGAAAACACCAGCAGACACTATGTACACAAACGGGTGAAACTATGTTCCAATAAACTTTATTTAAAAAAATAGGCAGTGGGCTAGATTTCGACGGCAAGCTCTAGTTTGCTGACCCCTGAATAAAGACTTTGTGTTGAAACAACAAAATTATATTGAAATTTGAAAGAATATTGCATGTGCAGTAGAGGAGATCACATAGAGAGCTATGTCAGAAGGGGTTGGGTATCTCTCGATGAACTTCCCATTGTGTATTCTTTCTTTAGCTATAGTAGCATTATCACTGATTAATGATCCACGGGTCATGGCACATATATTCTCTCTCCCAATTATGAGTTGATTTAATTGATACTTCTCTCTAAGTATAAACCCCAGCCCCCTTTTTTCCAGATTCTGGTGTGTATGTGGGAAGGGGGACACAGACTGTACCTCAGTGCCCCATATATTGTTTTTATATTTTATAAAGTTTTCAAAAATAATATCCTTACCAATGGTTTACAGTTGCTTATTCTAGTATGTTTTAATAGCTACAATAGTGAAGATTTTCAAATTATATAGTTGTTTTAGTTGAGGCAATGCTATTAATCATCATTTCATCTGAAATGTTTTGTTTTGACATACTAAACAACATTTCAGAAATGTAAATTATGAATAGCTACTACATACCTCACTTCTCTGGAATGCAGTAAAAAGCTACATAACCCACAGGGCAGAAAAAAGTTTAAAAAATGTTTTAATAAAAAGAAAATGAACACACTGCATTTTTCAACTATAACAAAGGAGAAGTTATCAAGGTTAAAAGTTACTTGAATTTTTTTTTCTTTTGTCAGACACTTAGTAACTTAACAGACATGATTTGAGTATTTAGAAATTTTTCAAATTGGAACGTCAGGAGAGGAGTCACTAAGATGTAAATATAGCTCTGCAATATCAAATCAGCCCATGGAACCAGGTCAGAGCTTGCTTTAATAATAGAAGCAGAAAGAATTGGTGCTGGGTACACCCAATCAAATTGAGGTCAAATTATTGATATAATTTCATGTAATTACTAAGTTGCTTTGAATCCAGGTTACACTTCGGACTGTGTATTATTTATTATATTTCACTGTTTAGTTCCTCATTGGACTTTTTATATTAGCCTAAAAACTTCTCTTTGTTACATTTTATTATACTTGAGTGTGACAGGCAAACTGAATTTGTCATTAAATTTTCTTTAAGACAAGTAACACATGGCTAAATCTTAAATTCTGCCCTTCCCCATAATTCGCTTATTTTTGTTGTTAGAAAATTAAAATATAATAGATCATGAGCTATAACCGTAACAAAGTAAAGCCTTAAAAAAGTTAGTGATTTCAAAAATGGATGGTTAAGAAATTTATGTCTTTCCGAGTGATTCTGTTAGTTTTTTCACATTTTGAGGCAATTCACATAAATAATATAAATATTGTGGTGTTCTGGATTAAGTCTTGAAAACTTAAATACTAAGGGCTTGACAAGGGCTTTCTGTGATATTTATTTTTGAGCCTCTTCAAATCTAGTCCCCTATTGATTGTGCTGAGGTCTTTACATGAAATGCATTAAAATAGGGGTGGTATATGAAGCCTAGGACACAGATGTCCTTGACTTGTTTTGCACGTGGTCCTACAACCTCTGGATCTGACCTTGCTCTCTCATTGAAGATTGTCAACGCAGGATTCGTCATAGAAGCAGAAGATAATAGAGTGCTCACTGAAAACCAAGTGAGGGAATTCTATAGTCAAATAGCCGAGCAGGTAAGAAAGTTTAACAAAACCCCCACTGTGTTGTCTACCTTCTTACCCGTTTTAGATCCTCATTATAGAAAAGCAAATGCATAAGTGTGACCAACCAAATAAGCTCCCGCTCTCCCTGTTTGTGTCCACACCATGGTAATACCAAAGATGGTGACCCTGGAGAAATCGCCATCAGTCGACCAGAAGTGGGTGATCTAATTGTGTTCTTTTGGAATGAAGACCTCATTATATTATGTCCTCTAACACTCCCTGCATGAGCCTGGAAGTAAATATCCAGGAATTTCCTATAGATTTTTGTCCCAGGTGGAAGGCTACTTGTCATACACTTTACAGGAAAGCTTTAATTCTTTCTGTACCCAAAAGCCTTTCTCTCAAGCTATTTTTTAATTCTCTCTTGCTTGGCGGTATATGATACAGGCAGTGCTATGTACTGGAAAGTGCACTGGCTTGGGGGTGAGGAGACATAGCTTCTACAAATCAACTGTCCAGTGTGGTAGCCATTAGATACATGAAATAAGTTAAGTACAAATTAAACTGATAAGAACAGATACTACACTTGATCTTAGCCAAAAGGCCAAGAAGCGATAAATTAAATAAAAATTCAGTCTTAGTTGCACTAGCCACATATGTTGGAGAGCACAGAACATGTTTGTCATCACGGAGAAAGTTCTACTGCATAGCACTTCGTAAACTAGATGCACCACTCAAAGCATCTCTATTAGCCCCAGAAAGGATTAGACTGGCAACATCAGCATTTACCTGGGAGCGTTTGAGAAAATCCAATTCCTGAGCCCCACCCCAAATCTACTGAATCCTAAACTCTGGGATTGGGCTCCAGAAACCTGCATTCACATAACAAGCCCTTCAGATGATATGGAAAATTCCTAGAGTTTGAGAATAGCTATTAGACTATCTTTTTTAAATTTTATTTCTTATTGATTTTTTACAGAGAGGAAGGGAGAGGGATAGAGAGCCAGAAACATTGATGAGAGAGAAACATCGATCAGCCGCTTCCCGCACTCCCCCCCGCCCCCACTGGGAATGTGCCCGCAACCAAGGCACATGCCCCCGACCAAATCGAACCTGGGACCCCTGAGTCCGCAGGCCGATGCTCCATCCACTGAGCCAAACCGGCCAGGGCAGCTATTAGACCAACGGTTCTCAACCCATGGGTCGAGACTCCCCTTTGGCGGTCAAAACGACACTTTCACAGGGGTTGCCTAAGACTATCCTGCATATCAGATATTTACATTATGATTCATAACAGTAGCAACATTACAGTTATGAAGTAGCAACAAAAATAATTTTATGGTTGGGTCACAACATGAGGAACTGTATTTAAAGGGCAGAAGGTTGAGAACCACTGTATTATACTATCTTTAAGATCAATCCCTGCTGGCTGTGAGCTTTAATCCTTGAAAGATGTGGCTGTTAACAGGGGCTTCATAAGGATACCATTCCCTTGCCCAGTGATCATGAAGGGGAAGATGCTACTTGACTTAGGTGGCAGCTGCCATGTTAGCCTATCCATTTCAGGAACCTGACCTGTTTATCATTTTATTTTGTAGCCTGACTTTGAAGAGTTTATCTCATTAATGACACATAGCCTAAGCTGTGTTCTAGTTGTATCTCGAAGCACTGAACAAGTACCGTTCTTGGAAGAGGAAATTGTATCTAAATTTGAGACTGAACCTCAAGAACCACCTGAGGGTCAACCTGAGATGGACCCATCTTCACTGGTGAAGAAAAAGTGGGACAGGTAGCTTAAGACCAAGAATTTATGATTTGCAATGTCTTAGTAGGTAATGAAAAGTGATGTCCGAATATCTCAAAATCTAAAGACAAGCATAATAGTATTCATGTTAAAGCTACAAGCATTTCTCTCAGTCAATCTAAAGTACTGTCTATTCAGCAAAACGGGGCTTGCCCTGAAAGTTTATATCAATAGGATTGGCAAGGGGAAAAGTTTTCCCTTGTCTTTCTACACCTGGGATAGTCTGAGGAGGATAAGTTTTAGTTCTTCCTTGAATGTTTGGTAAAACTCCCCTGTGAAACCATCTGGCCCTGGGCTTTTGTTTGCTGGGAGCTTTTTGATGACTGCTTCAATTTCTTCCATAGTTATTGGCCTATTGAGATTTTTAGATTCTTCCTGATTGAGTTTTAGAATGTTGTATTTTTCTAGGAATATGTCCATTTCCTCCAGGTTGTCTAGTTTGTTGGAGTAGAGTTGTTCGTAGTATTTTCTAACAATCCTTTGTATTTCTGTGGGGTCTGTTGTTATTTCTCCTCTTTCATTTCTGATTTTTGTTTATTTGGGTCCTCTCTCTTTGTTTCTTAGTGAGCCTGGCTAGAGGTTCATCAATCTTGTTTATCCTTTCAAAGAACCAGCTCTTGGTTTTGTTGATCTTTTGTATTGTTTTTTTGTCTCTATGTCGTTTATCTCCACTCTGATCTTTATTATTTCCTTCCTTCTGCTGACACTGGGCTTTTCTTGTTGCTCTCTTTCTAACTCTTTGAGTTGTAGGGTTAGGTAATTTATTCTCATTGTTTCTTATTTCTTGCAGTAGGCTTGTAGAGCTATGAACTTCTCTCTCAAGACTGCTTTCGCTGTGTCACGTAGGTTTTGGAGTGTTGTGTTTTTATTGTCGTTTGTTGCCATGATGTTTTTTATTTCTTCTTTGATCTCTTTGGTAACCCAGTCATTGTTTAATAGCGTGCTATTTAGTCTCCATGTGTTTGACTTTTCTGGATTGTTTTTATTGTAGTTGATTTCCAGTTTTATGCCATCATGATCTGAGAAGATGCTTGATCTGATTTCAATTTTCTTGAATTGAAGAGACTTTGTCTGTGACCCAATATATGGTCTATCTTTGAAAGTGACCCATGTGCACTTCAGAAGAATGTATATTCTGTGGCTTTGGGGTGAAATGTTCTGAAGGGGTCAATTAATTCCATCTGATCTAGTGAGTCATTTAGGATTGATGTTTCTTTGCTGATTTTTTGTTTAGAGGATTTGTCCAATGGTGATAATGAGGTGTTAAACTCCCAACTATGATTCTATTGTCAATCTCTCCCTTGATCTCCTCCAGAAGATTTCTTATGTATTTGGGTGCTCCTATTTTGGATGCGTATATGTTTACCAGAGTTATTTCTTCTTGTTGCAATGCTCCCTTTAGTATTATGAAATGGCCTTCTTTATCTCTTTTTATGTCCTTCAATTTGAGATATAATTTGTCAGATATAAGTATTGCTGCCCTGGCTTTTTTTTTCATTTCTATTCGCCTGAAAAACCTTTTTCCATCCCTTCACCATCAGTCTGTGTGCGTCTTTTTTTCTGAGGTGGGTTTCCTGTACACAGCAGATATATGGGTCATGTTTTCTTATCCACTCAGTTACCCTATGTCTTTTGATTGGAGCATTTAATCCATTTACATTTAAAGTTATTATTGATAGATACTTGTTAGTCGCCATTTTTATTCTTTACCCCTGTGTTCCTTCTTCGTTTCCTATTTTTTCTTTTTACAGCAGACCCTTTAGCATTTCTTGCATTGCTGGTTTGGTGGTAATAAACTCCTGAAGTCCTTTTTTGTCTGTGAAGCACCTGATTTCACCCTCAATTTTGATTGATAGCCTTGCTGGGTACAGTATTCTTGGATTCAGACCCTTCCTTTGCATGACTTTATATATTTCATTCCATTCCCTTCTTGCCTGATGTGTTTCTGTTGAGAAATCAGTCGCTAGTCTGATGGGGGCTCCTTTGTAGGTGACTTTCTGTCTCTCTCTGGCTGCTTTTAAGATTCTTGCTTTGTCATTGGTGTTTGCCAATTTAATTATAATGTGCATTGGCGTCGGTCTTTTGGGGTTCATTTTGTTTGGGACTCTGTGAGCTTCTTGGATTTGTGTGAGTTTTTTCTTCCCTATATCAGGAAAGTTTTCTGTCATTATTTTTTCAAATAGGTTTTCTATTCCTTGCTCAGTTTCCTCTCCTTCTGGTACCCCTATTATGTGGATGTTGTTTCGTTTCATGTTGTCCCAGAGTTCTCTTAGGCTCTCCTCCTGCTTTTTAATTTTTTTTTTCTAGAAGCTGCTCTGCTTGGGTATTTTTTCCTACCTTGTCTTCTAGCTCACTGATGCAGTCCTCTGCTTCTTCTAGTCTACTGTTGATGCTTTCTATTGTGTTCTTTATAGCAATGATGTCATTTTTCATTTCTTCTTGGTTTTTCTTCATTTCCTCTTGGTTCTTACACATATTGTTGAATTTGTCTTCCATTCTTTTCATCCACCTTATGACCATTTCTCTGAATTTTCTCTGGCAGGTTGCTTGCCTCCATTTCGTTTACTTCCTTTTCTGGTGATGCCTGTTTTACTTTCATATGCAGGCTGGTTCTTGGTCTCCTCATGATCTCTCTTCTCCAGGTGTTTGGTTATGTAGTTCTCTCTCTGCTTTCCGTGAGGAGAAGCAGGGGTCCACGTAGTCGCGCTGTCCCAGATCCGGTGTTTCTGGCTTAGCAGCCGATCTCTGGATGCCGGGTCTTTGGATGTATACACTTCCAATAACAGCCACTTGAAATTAAATTTTTATTTGTTTTATTAAACTCTGAATTATTTGTAAACATATTATCAGTTTTAACTTTCTGTCATGGCTATTAAACTTCAGTTTATAATCTTAAATTATATTTTGAATTTCAGCAGTTTAGAAGAATATCTGGTTAAAGAAAATATACGTCAGTTTTGTGATGTTGAAGAGGATGTAGATAATGTTAATAAGCTTATTGATATCTTCTTCCCTGATTTTAAAAACATGAAATTAGAAAAGACACTGGCATTACTTCGACCAGATCTCTTTCAAGAAAAGAAAGGTAAGAAATAAGGTACAAATTGTTTATTTCATAAATGGATTTGAATAAACCCTAGTGTAATTACATTAAAATATATTATTTTAGGACTTAACTTTGAAGAAAAAGCACCTAAAGTAAGAAATTTAGTTAATATTAATTTACTAATTTTCAATAACAAAACCATTTTCAGTAAAGAGTTTACAAAGTATTTTCTAGCTTATAAATGTTGTAGAAAATATTTTAAAGTGACAGGAATTATTATATAGTAAAAATTGGTAGTTTTCATTTCTGAAATGCCTTAACTCAAAGCTTGGGTCAACCTCTCATTAATAGTATGATTTGAAAAAGATGCTTTATCAAGTCTCTTTCTTCTAATATAGAGAATATTATTGAATGCAAACTCTAACTGAAAAAGAAGAAAATAAAATTTTTAAAAAAACCAAAAAAATTAGATGAAAATAAGAAAACATAAATACAGTGCCTACACTTAAAAAGTGCTAATTACTTTTAACCTACTCCCATAGTCACATGGCAGAGTGAAATGCAGAGTAAGAATACAAACCATACATTCACACTATTAATTATTTTTCATACCTAGTATATGAAAATACAATACTTTATATTGACCTTGCATTCTCTGAGTTGCTGAACTCAGTGTTAGAATCTTTGATGTCATCTCCTAGGGAATGTCTGTGCAGACCAGGATTTCTCAACCTCAGACCTACTTACATTTGGGGCTAGATAACTGATAATTTTTGGCTGAGGGAGGCTGTGTCATGTGCATTGTAAAATGGTTATAACACCCTTGGCCTCTGCTCATTAGATGTAGCATCCCTGCGCACCCCCATCTTCCCTCTCACCACGCCCTGTTGTGACAACAAAAAATGTCTCCAGACATTGTCAAATGCACTCATGGGGGATAGAATTTCTGGCCAAGAACTACTGATGTAGACAATAATAACACTGAAAATCAAGACAATCTGTATACGATTCTTCCTTTTGCTTGCATCATTAGACTGACTGGCTAGAACTTCCTGTATGATGTTGACTAGGAGAGGTGAGAGTAGACAAGTTTGCCTTGTTCCTGACCTTATAGTGAAAGCATTCAGTTTTTTCCCATCCTATATATAAAAGTGTAAAATGCAAATCGACTGAACAGCCAAACAGCGGAACAACCATCTGGACCACCATCCAGATGACCATCCAGGACCACGCTATGACACTATTGGCTCCAGGCCAGCCAAGGTGGGTGCAGTGCTATTGGCTGGGGGCCCAGCCATTGCCCCATGATTGCCCCACAGAGGGAGGCCCAGGCCACCAGCATGTCGGGGGAACAATGGTGGTGGTGGTGGGGCCTCCCCTGCGAGGGAAGCTCGGGTCCTGGGTGCCAGAAGGAAGCTGGTGCCGGCAGCCGGAGGAAGGAAGGCCTACTCTTGCATGAATTTTGTGCATTGGGTCTCTAGTTAAGGATAATGTTAGTGCTATATATCCTTTATCAAATTAAGGAAATTTCCATTTATTCCTAGTTTGGGATTTAAAAAAAATCATGAATGGATATTGCATTTTCTCAAACATTTTTTTCTGTGTCTACTACCATGATTATTACTTTTCCTTGAGTTTGATAATAAGGTAATTACTGTGATTTTTGAATGTTGAAGCAGCTTTGCATTCTCCAGATAAATCACAATTGATTGTTGTATATTGTCCTTTTTGCATACTTCTGGATTTGATTTTTAAATATTTTGTTGAGAGCTTTCATGCTTATACTCATGAGAATTATTTGTTGTTTTCTTATAATATCTTTATCTGGTTTTAGTGTCAGCATAATGCAGGCCTCATAAAATAAGTTGTCACTCTTCTTTATTTTCTGGAAGAAACAGTGTATAATAGATATTACATTTTTCTTAAATATTTACCAGAATTTACTAGCAAAACTATCTGGTCCTATAGTTTTCTTCTTTGGAATGTTTTGTTTGCCTTTTAAAATATTTCTTAATATTTACATACTTGTTAAATGAATAGATTTTTATAAACTAGGACAGCTATAAAATTATAGAAAAATTAATATAGTACAGAGTTCCAATATGCATGCTTAACAGTTTCTCCTATTAACATATTATTGTGATATGTTTTTAAAATTAATGAATATTGACACATTGTTATTGGCTAAAATCCATAGTTTACATTAAAGTTCTCTATTTTGCACATTCTATGGGTTTTGATAAATGCATATCATGTATCCCCTTTACAGTATCATACAGAATGGAGTCACCTAGTCATTCCTCCCTTCCACCCTCCTATCCTTAGGCTACCACTGATCTTTTTGGTGTCTCTATAGTTTTGCCTTTTCCAGAAAGTCAAAGAGTTGGAATCATATAGTATGTAGCCTCTTCTTTTACTTAATATGAATTTCAGATTCCGCTATGTCTTTCTGTGACCTGGTAGCTCATTTCCTTTTGTTGCTGAATAATATGCCATTTTATGGATGTACCAAAGTCTATCCAGTTACCTATTGAAGGACATCTTTGTTGCTTTCAGTTTTTGGCAATTATGAATAAAGCTGAAATAGGCATTAATACATGATTTTTTGCATGTGGAGACATAAGTTTTCACCTCAGTAGGGTAAATACCTCGGAGCCTGAATACTGGATCAAATGGTTAAACTATGTGTAGCTTTGTAAGAAACTGTCAGATGCCTTTTAAAGTGCTGTACCATTTTCAATTCTAAACAGCAAGTAGTGAGAGCTTCTGTTGCTGTGCAGGTGGTGGTTTAGGTTTTTTCTATTCTAATAAGTATGTAATGCTATCTCATTGTTGTCTCAATTCACAATTGCCCAATGACATGATGCTGAGCATCTTTTCATATGCTAACTTCTATTTCTATATCTTCTTTGGTGAGATGTCTCTTCAGATGTTTTTTCCCCCATTTCTTAATGGAGTTATTTGTTTACTTATTGTTGAATTATGAGTTCTTTGCATATTGTGAATACACGTTCTTTAAATATCTATAGTTTGCAAAGATTTTTCTAGGTTTTGGGCTCTGTGTTTTTTGTTTTTTTAAAATATATTTTATTGATTTTTTTTTTTTATACAGAGAGGAAGGGAGAGGGATAGAGAGAGGTACATGCCCTTGACCGGAATCGAACCTGGGACCCTTCAGTCTGCAGGCCGACGCTCTATCCATTGTGCCAAACCAGTCAGGGCTGGGCTCTGTGTTTTTTTAAACAGTGTGTTTTACTGGAAAGTTTCTGTTTTTAATATAGTCCAACTTGTCAGGTATTTTTATTGCTCTTTTAGTGTTTAAATTAAAAAATCAATTTAAACCCTAAAAGGTTATCAGTATTTTCTTCTCTGTTATCTTGCAGAAAGTTTATAGGTTGGAACTTTACATTTAGGACTATAACCCATTTCATTTAATTTTCATGAAAGGTATATGGTCTATGTCTAGATTGATTTTTTTTGCATGTGTGTGTCCAATTGTTCCAGCACCATTTGTGGAAAAGACTATCATTGCTCCACTGTATTACCTTTGCTTATTTGTCACACTTCAGTTGACATATTCATGTGGGTATATTTCTGGGTTCTCTATTCAGTTCTGTTGATCTATGTGTGTATTCTTTTGCTTATCCCTCACTAATTTGATTACAGTAGTTTTAAAAAATGTTTTTAATTTATTTTTTTAGAAAGAGAGGAAGGGAGAGGGAGAGTGAGTGAAACATTGATGCGAGAAGGAAACACCAATCAGTTGCCTCTTGAACACTCCCAAATAAGGATCGAGCCTGCAACCTGGGCATATACTCTGACCAGGAATCAAACTGGCGACCTTTCAGTTCATGGGATGACGCTCAACCAACTGAGCCACTCCAGCAGGGCTGATTATGGTAGTCTTACAGTCAATCTTGAAGTGGGTAGTTATCAGTCCTCAAAAAATGTTTTTGTCTTTCAATGTTGAGTTGGTTATTCTGGGTTTCCATATAAACTTTAGAATCAGTTTTTCAATATCCATATCCACAAAATAACTTGTGGACACATCAATTGGTTGCCTCTCACACATGCTAGGGGCACAGGATCGAGCTTGCAAATGAGGTACGTGCCCTTAACCAGAATTGAACCCACGGCCTTCGGTCCACGGGCCAACACTCTATCCACTGAGTCAAACTTGCTAGGATGCATTTTTTGTGTACTAATGTAAATTGTGTTGTTTTAAATGTCAAATTCCAATGTCATTGTTAGTATATAGGAAAGTCATTTACTTTTGTACATTAATAGTAACCTGCAATTTTGCTATAATAGCCTCTTATTAGTTTTAGGAGTTTTGTTGTTGTTTCTTTGGGTTTCTACATAGACAATCATATCATCTATGAACAAAGACAGTTTTATTTTCTCCTTCCCTATCTGTATACCCTTTATTTTCTTTTCTTGTGTTATTTCATTAACTAGTTTTTCCAGTCTGATGTCAATAGAAGTAGTGAGAGGTGAGAGCCCTGCCTTGATGCCAGTCTTAGAGAGAAAGCATATAGTATAGAAAATATTTGCTAATGAGATACTTCAGTGTGTGTGTGTGTGTGTGTGTGTGTGTGTGTGTATGATTCTTATGTCATGTAAAATTGGAAATACCATTATAATTTAATATGTTAAGAATATTGTTCACCTTAAATTAAAATCTAATGAACTATTTTTGCAAGTTTTTAAATTTCATAATAGAATAAAATGCATTATATGTCCCCATGATAATATATTCTATATTGTGTATATAACCACTAACCTAGCAATTCAAAACTTTTCATGTTACTTTTTGTTTAGAGGATGTTTTGAATATTATTAAAAATGAAGGCTTTAATATACTGATGCAAAGGCCAGTGGTATTATCAGAAGAAGAGGCACGAACACTGTGCAAGGAATATGAAAATGAAAATTATTATGAAAAGGTGATAGAAAACATGACCAGGTAAAATAAACTTCAAGTGTAGAATGCAGAGTCTGATTTATTTTTGAATTATTTAAATCTCCTCTTAACCTTTCTGCTCAAGTTGCCAAGCCTCTCAATTTTGTAAACAAGCGCTGAGTCTGCTTTTTGAGCCAGTCTGCCTCCCGTGTCGATTCTCTGTTCAACTGTCCGTCCTGTCTAGTCCTCCTGGAATGTTATTGGAGCAATGGAAATACCCCAGGTGAAGTGGCTGGAGTCCAGTTGAGTTAAATGCCAGGAACCCAGGGGGTGCAACATCATCAATTCCAAGCAGAGAAAACTGATTGACTCTCAAGGGCTTTGGTAATCTAAAGATCTAGGAGAGGCAGGAGAGGCTAAAAATTTGTCAGGTTTCTGAAAGCGTAAGTGAAATAACACCTGGGGCTGAAATCCAGCAGGAGGATATAAATCTGCAGGAGTATAGGAACAATATAGGAACCATTGTATTAGAACCAAGGTCTCCTTTCCCCTTTCATTTCTCTGCTTTCATCCTTTTATAAATATGCTTTAAAGAATACACCAATGAAAATTAATTTTAGATTCGGTAAAAGGGTTATCTTGACTTTTTGTAGTCTATTTAACAAATATACTTGTATTATCTCTATATAATTAGCTACTGCGTCAGACTTTTATTAACTTTGTTTTTAATTTTCTAACAGTGGTCCATCTCTAGCTCTTGTTTTAGTGAGAGAAAATTCTTTACAACACTGGAAAGAGTTAATTGGACCAAGTACTGTTGGAGAAGCTAAAAGATATCTTCCGAACAGGTTGGATTCATATCATAGGTCCCAAACTGTTTTCATAGGAGCCATTTTAATTCCCTTTTAGATACGGGATATAGGAACCAGAGTTCTAGCTCAAAGGAGGTTCTCAGGGTAGCTGCTCTTCCTGGGTCAGAGTGGACTGCTATCGGCTGGAGGCCTAGCCCAGGGCCAACCCGAATACTGCCAAGGTTTTGCAAGAGAAGGCTGCGGGCTGTTTGGTTTGGAACTGGGAAGTAAGTGATGGGTACCCAGGCAAAAGGCCAACTCTTGGCAGGAATTGCAACGCCGTCCACTATTTAGGAGAAATTCTTTTGAGAAGGGTGTGATGAGAGCTTCAGGTTCTTTAGTGGATCATAAGCATTTCAAGACCATCATGACTGACTTAATATGCAGTCTCTACCTGGGCAGGAACTGTTACTAAGTTAGTCAACTAAACTTTGCAATCAGTTTAACACATGGTATGCTACCTGGCACATAGGGGGTACCCTGTAAATATTTTTGACCTTAACTGTTAGGCTTGCTATCACCCGGGGGGTGTGGATAGTGTCTCATGCATCTACATTCTTGGGAGGGAGCTGATGGAAACGAACTGAATTGCAATTCGCTTGAATTCTCTGTGCCAGTTGCAGAGCAGGATTCAATACAGGGAAGGAAGGCTCTTGCTTCAAGTGAGCAAGAATAGAGGTGCTCTATCAGGCACAGCAAACTAGACACATTTGTTTACACAATAACAGGACTTATGAAGCATCATTGACATAAATATTGAAATAATCTTCTTTTGGGCAGGATATCTTGAACCTGACTTGTCTTGAGTGGGCACCATTTATCCCCTATTTAGCCCTGCTCACTTAGGTCTTTGCTCCTGTACCAGAAAATAACTATCAAGGATAATGTAGGTTGACCACTGTGGATAGTGTGAGCAGAGTGTCCTAGGTCCTCTTAGTGAAATGTTGCACAGAATTCAATGCATAGCATTAGAGAGAGAGGAACGACTCTCAACACGAAGCCTATGCCTGTAGGCACACTCTTCTAGCAATGTGGTTCCAGGTGTGGAGGGAGTACACCAGCACAGAGACGTTTCCTCCAGGGGAAGCTCCGACTGACTGCCTCTCCCACCCCACTGTTGTGAGGATTCCCATCCAGAGCCCTAATGACCCCTATCTTGCAACTAACCCTGACCATTCTGTTTGAATGGTTCCCCTTTTCCAGTTTCATTGGTTCCACCCAGGTCGTTCATGTTGTTTTAGAGATAACTGTCAACAGAGCTCTGTCCCTTTTCTGCACGCAAGTAGCAGATTTTGCATTCTGCATTGCTTAATCTGAAATACGGTCACATTGGTAAAAGATAAATATAGTAGCCCCTCTATGCTATCCTTACACATGCACACACTCACACTTACAAATGTATACGCACTTTTTTCAATAATCATGTCTAGCAGCATAAGGGAGGGGCTGGTTGTAGTCCTCCGCCTTGAACGGTGTAAGTGCTGGTGATCATTTAAGCTGTTTTGTCAACCATTGTGCAGATTCCCCATCCCTGGCAAGCACAGGCTCCAAGGAACTTAGGCCACAAGCATCTCCAAATCAGGGTGTGAGAATCGTCAAGGCCTGAGTGGGGAGGTCAAGTTGGATAAATCAAAAATGGGTCACTGAAACCCAAGAGGCACAAAGAGAGTCTTGAAGCTGAAGCTAGAAAGCCAAGTTTCCAGTGATGTCACCCTAGTCAATAAATAGGAAGGGACACTATTCACCATCACTGGATTTTACACTCAAAAGTGCGTGTAAAAGGCAGAAAGTACAATGAACAGTGAGCTTCTCCTCTGTTAAAATATACATAGATAGATAGATACATACATACATACATACATACATACGTACATACATAGACAGATAAAGACAGAAAAAAAGGGAAACAAAAAACATCAAGCAACAATTCATATCAAGTAAGAGATATATATTTATCCATTGTACAGAAACAGAACCAGACTAATTATCTAACCCAACATGAATTGTCCAGGACCATCAGCATCCCTACTGCTTCTTCTTTTAAAAAAAAATATATTTGTATTGATTTCAGAGGAGAAGGGAGAGGGAGAGAGAGATAGAAACATCAATGATGAGAGGGAATCATTGATCAGCTGCATCCTGCATGCTCCCTACTGGAGATTGAGCCTGAAACCCGGGCATGTGCCCTTGGCTGGAATCGAACCTGGGACCCTTCAGTCCACAGGCTGACACTCTATCTACAGAGCCAAACCAGCTAGGGCTGTACTGCTTCTTTATACACAGAATTGTCCTGTAGGCTCCTCCTTTGTTGCTGCTCTTGCTTACTGGGAAGTTTCCACTGCAGTTTCTCCTGGATTTAAAGTTTATAGTTTGGTATCTTTGGTATAGAGTCAAATGCCATCTTTAGTGCTTGATACTATTTTTTTTAAATGGTTTTATTTTATTTTTTATATTTAATATATATATTTTTTATTATTGCTTAAAGTATTACAAAGAATATTACATATGTCTCCTTTTTTTCCCCCCTGCCCTTGACAATCCCCTGGCCTCCCCTACCCCCCAGTGTCTTATGTCCATTGGTTATTTAGTGATCAGGATTCCGTGCTTTGTCACTGTGCTAGGGCATCCATTCCTCCATTCACAGTTATCTGTCAATCTCCATTATCAGGATTATTTAAAAGTCCATTTCCTTCCTCCCTCCCTCCCTCCTTCCTTTTCACCTTCTCTCCCTCCCTCCCTCCCTCCTTCCCTCCTTTACTTTCATTTATGTCTTTATTTCTTCCTTTCTAAAGACTATTACATCCTTGAAATGAAGTCGCATGCCCCAGACCATTCTGTAATTAATTACTTTTTAACTATGTCTAGATCAGGGATGAGTTGCTTTTGTTTGATAATTTTGAACAATTTATACAGTGTTATATTGTGCTCTATGTTATGTTATGTTGCTATGCCATAATAGTTTTTAACTTGTTTTCTTTTCTCAAGTTTGTGTGTACAATTTGCAATGGAAAACCTGCCGATCAACCAGTTGTATGGAAGTGACTCACTTGAAGCTGCCGAAAGGGAAATCCAGTATTTCTTTCCTCCTCAAAACACTTTAGCAGTGATTAAACCTCAGGCAACACTCAAACAAAGAGGTAAATATTTAAAAATGAAAGCCAATGTGTACATTTTCTTCAAGTTTAGTGAAATTTTTCAAACTACAGAAAAGTTGAAGGAGTAATGCCAGTTCTGAACATAATCAGAGTATAGCCACTCAAGTTTAAGCTGTGGGTGAAACTTTGACAAGATTTACTTTATTTAACTCCCTCAGTAGCTCCCTTCTACTTCAGGAGGAAGAGTTCAGATTGGCTCTCACTTTCAATTTCGATCTAGCAAGAAGTTTCCCGGTCCTGGTAGCAGAGATGAAACATGTCTTAACATTTAGCTCAGGAGCTGGTAACCTCCTCTCCCGCTTTCATAGTCCACTCGATGATGATTCAGGTGGCTTCTGGAAGGATGCATCTCAGAGATGAAACACCTACAATAACATATTAAAGTTCTTCTGAATGTCAGTCTGGTGCTTTTCAAATTCAATTTAGTTGAGCATAGTTTTGCCTTTTAAAACCACGGTATGCAAATAAAGCTATTACCATCCTTAGTTATTTCAATCTACTTGAACATGGAGCAAAAGTGGAGGCAATCTGTATGATGAGCAAATATCTGTTTTCTCTAGAGATGATCTTCAACCGTATTAAAGAGGCTGGATTTGATATAATACAGATGAAGGAAATTCTGCTAACCAAAGAGCATGCTGACAAAATTTATTATAAAATAGCACAGAAAGACTTTTATAACAGTGTGTTGGAGGTATTATCTGAGTAAGTTTCTGAAATATGGTTCTTTGCATTATAAGGTAGTATCTGTTCACTGTAGAAACAGAAAAATATAAAAATTAATTAAAACATTCCATCTAATCTCATTCCTGGAAAGACACCTTATTAATATTTTGTGTTCATTTTCCCTCTATTTCCTTCCTTTCCTTCCTATATTTCTCTCTCCCCTTCCTCCCTTCTTCTCCTTATTCCTTTTTTTCTTTCTTTCTCCTTCCTTCCTTTTTTTAAAATTTAGGTCTTCACATTAGATCTAGAGGCTATCTGGGTTTAAATTCCTGTTTACCAATATACTTTCTCTGTGTCTTAGTTTTCTTATATGTATAAAATGGGGATAATAATAGTACCTAACCCAGTGATGGCGAACCTCTTGAGCTCAGCTTGTCAAAATTTTGAAAAACCCTAACTTAACTCTGGTGCTGTGTCACATATAGAAATATTCATAATGTTTTCTTTTTTTTTTTTTTAATTAAATCTTTATTGTTCAGATTATTACATTTGTTCCTCTTTTTTTTCCCCCCATAACTCCCCTCCTCCCAGCTCCCGCCCCACCCTCCGCCCTCACTCCCCACCGTCCTCTTCCATAGGTGCACGATTTTTGTCCAGTCTCTTCCCGCATCTCCCACACCCCTTCCCACCCCCCCACAAGAATAGTCAGTCCATTCCCTTTCTATGTCCCTGATTCTATTATGATCACCAGATTATTTATTCACTTGATTCTTAGATTCACTTGTTGATAGATGCATGTTTGTTGTTCATAATTTGTATCTTTACCTTTTTTTTTCTTCTTCCTCTTCTTAAAGGATACCTTTCAGCATTTCATATAATACTGGTTTGGTGGTGATGAACTCCTTTAGCTTTTCCTTATCTGTGAAGCTCTTTATCTGACCTTCAGTTCTGAATGATAGCTTTGCTGGATAAAGTAATCTTGGTTGTAGGTTCTTGGTATTCATCACTTTGAATATTTCTTGCCATTCCCTTCTGGCCTGCAAAGTTTCTGTTGAGAAATCAGCTGACAGTCGTATGGGTATTCCCTTGTAGGTAACTGGGTTTCTTTCTCTTGCTGCTTTTAAGATTCTCTCTTTGTCTTTTGCTCTTGGCATTTTAATTATGATGTGTCTTGGTGTGGTCCTCTTTGGATTCCTTTTGTTTGGGGTTCTCTGCGCTTCCTGGACCTGTAGGTCTATTTCTTTCACCAGGTGGGGGAAGTTTTCTGTCATTATTTCTTTAAATAGGTTTTCAATATCTTGCTCTCTCTCATCCTCTGGCACCCCTATAATTCTGATGTTGGTGCGCTTGAAGCTGTCCCAGAGGCTCCTTACACTATCTTCATATTTTCGGATTCTTTTTTCATTTTGCTTTTCCAGTTGGGTGTTTTTTGCTTCTTCGCATTTCAAATCTTTGACTTGATTCTTGCGCTCCTCTGGTCTGCTGTTGGGTGTCTGTATAATATTCTTTATTTCAGTCAGTGTATGCTTAATTTCTAGTTGGTTCTTTATCACAACATCGAGGGTCTCATTAGATTTCTTGAGGATCTCACTACATTTATCGGCGGTCTCACCAGTCTTTTCGAGGGCCTTACTAAGTTTATCGGCAGCTTCTAGACAGTTCTTAAGAGACCTTAAAAGTGTGGTTCTGAACTCAATATCCTCCATTGACAGTTTTGTCCTGTTTCTTTGTCTCCGCATTTTTTATGCTTTCTTGGTGCACCCCCTAGTGGTCTTTGTCCGCAGTCTTGTTGCCTTTAAGCCTTGATTGATGTCGGCAATACCGGGGTGATTTGACCTCCAGGCTAACTGGCTATGAGAGTCTGCTGTGTCTGCAGTGGGAGGGCTTCTGTGCTGGATCTCTAGGGCGGTGCTAATCTAGCGTTTGCCTGAGGCTATCCGGCAAATGGCGCTGCGCAGGGCTTGGGCGGGGCGGGTCCCCGGGGATCTACAGGGCGGGCAGAACAAGCAGTTATGGCAACTCTCAGTTTCTTCCCTAGGGGCTCTGCCTCTCAGAGCCCCAGCAATGGCTGCAAACCTCGGAGAGAAAGCTGCCTTCGAGTTCCGACCGAAGCCAGACAGTCCCGTTTCTCCCGTTTGAGTCTTGGTCCCCAGAGACTCGCCCAGATCTGGAGCTCAGAGTCTGAAACTCCCTCCCGATTGAAAACAACAACCGCGCCCTCCGCCGCCAGCCCGCTCCGCGCGCACACTCCGCACCTGAGTATTTCACTTCAGCACTGCGCCTCCTCTGAGTCTGGGTATGATATTCTCTTTCCTCCTAGTTGTAGAATTTCCACTCAGCCAGCCTTCCCGTGGTTCTGGGTGATGTCCATTCTGTCCTTTAGTTATATCTCTGAAGTGGTTGTTTGAGGCAGCGATCTCCGGTGTTAACCTATGCCGCCATCTTGGTTTCTCCCATCTTTTTCCATAATGTTTTTTTGATATTTGCAACCATAGTAAAAAAAAAGATTTATATTTTTGATATTTATTTTATATATTTAAATGCCATTTAACAAAGAAAAATCAACCAAAAAATATGTAGAAAATGAACAAAAACAGAAAAACAATGTACATTTAGGAAAAATTAATAATAAAAACAATGATAATCAAATGGTACGAAAACTAGAAATTAGTGACTTTTTTGGTGCTAAAGTTTGTCTGCTAATTCTTCGATTGCAGGTTCATACTTGGTGCACTTCAAGGCCAAGCAAGCGCCACAAACTTCATCTGTTAGCCGGTTTCTTTTGTTCGTTTCAATATTATTTAATGCTGAGAACAGTCTCACAAAAATATGTGGATGAAAAAATCGTTAGCAAAGCCATCGCTAGATTTTTTATGTCGCTAAAAGTGTCAGGTACTCTGTTCCAAGCACTCAAAATTTCTTGTTCATATTGCGCTCTTCATTATTCAAATGATTTTGTTCCATATTTTCAAGTTTCGACCTTAAGTCGACAAACACACGAGTCCAAATGCTACCTTGAAAATCTGCAAGTTGCATCTCTAAATCGTCAATTTGCATCCATTGGAAATCCTTTAATTCCAAAGTTCTGTAAACAACTACATCCGGATACTTAATTATTTTAATGGTCTGTTCTAGGCTTCTAAATTGGTCGAATCTTTCACTGAACTGTTCAAATAACGAGTTTACTATATTCTGGTACATAAGTATGGACTCCATTACACTCGTTGTAGTGGCCTTCTTGAAATACATTTTTATCCGAGGAAAATACTTGTAAGTTTCAGTTTCAATATCTCGCTTGAAAATTTTAAGTTTACTTTCAAAAGATTTGATGTATCCAAACATAACGTCAATATTTTTGCCAAAACCTTGTTATTTTAAGTTCGGTTCATTCATATGAACAGAGAGATCTGTAAAAAACATCAAATTGCTGACCCACTTATGATCATTGATCTGAGGAAAGTTTGCCAGGTCCTTATTCTCAATAAATACCGTAATTTCTTCAAAGCACTCCACAAGTCGCTCAAGTACTTTACCTTGACTCAGCTATCTCACATTATTGAACATCAGTAGTCCACTGTAGGCTGAATCAACTTCCTGTAAAAGTGCAGAAAATTCTCGCCTGTGAAGGGGTCGAGAAGATATAAAATTCACAATTTTTGTTACAACTGACATTAATTCATTCAACTCTGAGAATGATTTGGCACACAACACCTCCTGATGGATAATGCAATGAAAAGGTACAAGTGGATGTCTAATAGCTTCCATAGACAATTTCAGGAATCCCACATTTTTTCCTACCATATTTGGTGCCACATCTGTCATGACTGACACAATTTTAGAGATATTAATGTTTAGGTCACTGAATGTTTTTATAACAACCTTACATATTTCGTTTCCTGATGTACTTTTTGGCACTGATTCTAACTCTATCAACTCTTCTCTCATTGTGAGACCATCAGAATATCTAGCAATAATGGCCAACCGAGCATTTGATGTGACATCAGTAGTTTCATCAAGAGAAATCGAAAAATATTTACAGCTATTTAAGTCTTTTTTTAATTGATGTTGTACATTTTTGTTAAGATCTATTATTCTGTCTTTGATAGTATTTCAACTGAGTGGTAACTCAGAAATCCTTTTAATAATATCATCTTTATTTTTCATATCGTGAAACAGAGCTGGTGCACATCTTAGAAATGTTTCCTTAATAAATTCTCCGTCACTGAGGGCTTTTCCATGCTGAGCTACGGAGTGAGCAATACAGTAACTTGCTGATGTTAAATTTGTAGAGCATCTTACAAATTTAATGATGCAATTTGATTGACTTTTATAGAGGTGTAGCTGCCTAGAAATGTATTCCTTCCTTTCATCGATACTTTTTTTTCAAGAGCTGCCAGTGATTAGTTTCAAAATGTCTCTTTACATTCCACATTCTGCTTACTACGGTTTCATTACACAGTATGCACAATGAGCTGTTGTTTCTGTCGACAATCCTGTACATCTCGGTCCATATGTCTTGAAAGGGTCGGCTACTGCTACTTCCACTTCCTTTATCATTCAATCTTGCTTTTTAATTTTTTGATTCTCCATCACAAGGCTGCAAAAATAAATAAATATAAATCACGGCGTTTTTCCTAAAAGGTTGATAGGTTTCTTACCTATTAACTTTTTGCAGTGTTGTTGCACTGACTCCTGGTGCAAAACAATTCAAAGATAGTATGTATAACCAACAAATATATGGTGCTGTAATCAATTACCCGACACGCAGAATGTCTTGTCGAGCACTGTTGCACTGTATATCCTTTTTCCTAACCCTCTCACTCCTGTCTCCTAACGAACATGACGATCACGTGCATCCATTTGCCGAATGCACCCGAACGCACGGGAAGCTTACCCGAGGCACATGTTCACAATAACGAGGCCGTTCCCAGAATTGGGCATTTTGTCACTCGAGTAAAAATAAAATGTCATGAGTAAAGTTTAATCTCTTTATAGTGCAATTCTTAACCTTTTTATATTAATGTCAATATTGGAACAGTGTATCTTGGATGTTTTCACTATGTATCTTTGCTATGCAACACCGATGTACATGTTTACATCCGGTTTTAGAATTGCATTATTGATCATGAGTAACGTGAGTAATAATATTACTCGAGTGATGCGCAACTCATTGAATTATGCAATTTTTTTGTCTCTGTCGATGGGTGTCTCCCAAAATGAGTTCGCGTATCACCTCTGACGCGCGTGTCATAGGTTCGCCATCACTGACCTAACCTATAGGTTTGTTGTGAGGGCTAAATAATTGATACATTGAAAGCACTTGGAACAGTGCCTGGAATATATCTATAGATATAAACTACAGCATTTTTCTAGCAATGCTTTTCTATGCCTGTTGGAAGAGGGATAAATGAAACAAACAAAAAAGAAAGCATTAAATCACACTAATAAGTACAAAGAACAAAGAAAAGCTCTCTGGATGAAGCTGTGGTGTTCTGTCTGTAGCCATGTAGGCAATCTATACAGTTGTAAGTGGCCCAAGTCTTCTGAAAGCACTGTTATTTGCAGGGGTCCATCTTTGGTCATGATTCTGAGCAAGTGGAATGCTATTGCAGACTGGAGGCGATTGATGGGTCCCACAGACCCAAGTGAAGCAAAGTTCTTGTCCCCAAACTCTCTCCGAGCCCAATTTGGAATAAATCTTTTGAAAAATGCTGTCCATGGATCATCTAATGCCACTGAGGCAATGCAAACAATTCAAAATATATTTGAAGAGGTTGATCCTGAGAATCCCGAGAATCCCAAGGAAAACTAAAGTACAGTACCTCTCTAATAACTGTTATTTCCTTTTCTTGGGCTGTTACAGTGACTGGGTCTAGGACAAGGTTGTTCCGATCAGAACATTCCCTATGTTCCTGACTTAAACTATTTCCTGCCAGACATATTACATTGCTCCATAGCAACCTTGAAGCCTCAAAGCCAAACCTTGTGCAGGCACCTGGGACATAGTGGAGTAAGCAAGATATCCTTTGGGTTGCAAGCCTTGATACTGAACTATTTGTGCCATCTCTCAGGACAGTCTCATCAAGTCCCTCTCCTTGACTCCCCTCCATTTCTCCTCTTCAAATTGCCAAGGTCTCATAAAGCGGCTGCTCTCAACTCTATTCATTGAGTGTTTGGAAACTTGGAACCTACTATCTATCTGTGGGTGACATATGATAATATGATAGGATATTCGAAACCATAAAGCAAAAGGCAGTCATTTCTATTCCTTGGCAAAGAGCAACTTATTTGGGGAGCATGTGGATTGAAACTGCTTAGTTGTTGATGGAAAACTTGAAAACGTTTCTATCCTGGGCATTGTGGGAAGTGGAGTGTAAGATAGGTGACTTTTGCCATCAAACTTACTTGCCTTCTTTATTTTCAAAGACTCTTCACATGTGCAGTGTTGTCTTCAGCTGGATGAGCCAAATTGAGAATCCGTCCACATAATGAGAAAACATTGTGAAATGGACCAATCCCTCCATACCCATTCAGGTTCCCGAGGGAAAGAAGAGTACATCGCTCCCTTAATAGTGTCATTTAGTCTAGGCTTTCTCTAGATGTAAGAACATTGTATCAAAACATTAAATGCAAAAATAAAAGTAGATTCTGTCATACTACTACTCATCCCATAAGTCTTATTTAATTACTAGAGGCCCGATGCACGGAATTCATGCAAGGGGCTCAGCCCCCCCCCCCCCCCCACAGCAGCGGCTGCCTCTGCCTTGGCCCCCAGTGTGGCAGCTTTGTCTGGAAGGTCATCTGGAAGGACGTCCAGGAGGACGTCCGGAAGGATGTCCAGTCTAATTAGCATATTATGCTTTTATTATTATAGCTAGACTAAAGCGTGATTGTACAACCCATAAACATTTATGTTGGGAAAATATGTATTGTATATCTGCTTGAACTGTGGGTTTTTGTTTAGTAAAACACTGGTTGAAAGTTGATACGTTCAGGGAGATGCAAATGTAATGGGGAGACAAAACTCACAAAAACTATCTAACCATAACTACCATAAGACAGTACATTATTAAGCATGACAGTGATGAATAATTTGTGTTGATGAGGTTAGTGCAACTACATTCTGTTTATAGCATCTAATAGCAACCTGGTATAGATCTATTCTAACATTTGCACATTCCTCCCTTTTTCTTTTTCTTTTGATGAGGTGAGCATTATGAATAGAATCAGGGACTTCAAATTAGTGTATAATACAGTGCTGAATTGACTGACAGGTGTGTATTTTGATGGGTAGGAGCTTGAGAAGGTAAGAGATGAAATAGATCTTGAGTAAAGGGTACGATTTTCAAAATCGAAAGTAATGAAGCAAGAAAGCGAATTTAGTTTTAAAAGTTTCTAAGTAGGTATGTCTTGCTATTTATACACATATAGGACATTTTGATGGCTGCTTTTACTATGCCTACTATACTAAATCATATCATTCTAAGGGATAGACTTGTGGGACTGTTTCAGACACGCTAGACTCTTTTATTCAGCTCATGCTATATGCTGGACACTGCCACAGGGCTGAATACACACAGTCCTTGTTCTAAAGGAGCTCAGGACTCAAAAAGCAGGAGATAAAAAAAAAATTGGAGTGCTTTGAGCAGATGCATATAGGAGATGGTGAGGGAGAATGAGATACAAACCACCCGGGCAGGAGGCATTGCAGTAATCAATGTGGAAGATAACAGCAATCTGTAGAAATTGTGAGTTAGCGATAAGTGGAATGATTAGAGAATCCTTAAAAGGCTGCATTGCATCCACAGGACTTATGATTGATCACCACTCTTTCAAATAAATGGGAAAAGACAATGCTTCCTGGCTTGAGTAACTGACGAGATGCTCCAACCATTCCAAGACAGGGGACCCAAAAGAGAAAAAGAAGGAAATGCCGTGAGTTCTGTTTTGCTCATGTGGGGAAGTAGGCATCTGGATTGGGAATAAGTCAGGCCCTCAGTGTAGCAGAGCTAAGAAGGCTCCATTGAAATGACATCAGCAAAATGATAGAGTAGGCAGCTATAAACTCCCATCCCTCCTTGGGGACATTGAAAACATAAGCAGAAACTGTCAGGACAAACTTTATCAGAGCTCTGGAAAATAATCAAAGGTTTACTGTAACCAAATGAGTACTGAAGCAATAAAGGAGCAACTAAAAAACGGTATGAAAGCTTTGTGACATTTTTACTTGCCCCATCACTTCCCCAAATTGATCACATTCTTGAAGGTTACAGCCTGTGTTCTCAGCATGGGACTCCAGTGTTTGGTGCCAAAGAGAATAGAGCAGATATTATTAACTAACTAGAGGCCCAGTGCATGAAATTCATGCAGGGGCAGGGTCCCTAGGCCTGGCCGGCAATCGGGGCCGATCTGTGGGGTGATCAGGATGCCTTGGCTGGCCTGGGGCCTGCGGGCTGGGGACAGCTCCTGTGTTGAGTGTCTGCCCCCTGGTGGTCAGTGTGCATCATTGTGACCGGTTGTTCCACAGGTCATTCTGCCATTTGTTCGATTTGCATATTAGGCTTTTATTATATAGGGTTATTGTGTTTTTCTGTTCTAACCTGTCTGGAGGCTACCTGAAAGATGACACAAGGAACGTTGAAAACAGGGATGTAAACATGTACACCAATGTTCACAGCAGCATTATTCATAATAGCCAAAAGGTAGAGAACACTCCAGTGTTCATCAACAGAAGAATGGATGAACAAAAATGGCATATAAATACAATGGATTATTACTTAGCCATAAAAATGAATAAAGTATTGATACATACTACAAAATGAATGGACCTTGAAATATTATGCTAAATGAAATAATCTAGACACAAAAGGACAAACATTATATGATTCCCTTTGTACGAGGTACCTAGAATAGGCAAATTCATAGGGACAGGAAGTATACTAAAGGGAAGTAGATGTGGGAGGGAGGGAGAAATTGGGAATTATTGCTTAATTGGTAAAGAGTTTCTGAACAGGGTGATGAAAAATTTTGGAAATACATTGTGTTGTAAAATGTACAAAATCTAGTCACATTTGAATTATCAGTAAGGATGTTTCTCAAATTTTTAAAATTGCATTTTCTTCAGAATGCATTTTTTAAAAAACGAGGGTAAATTAATTATCAGCTTTCTTTGGATTATGCAGAGGAATAAGCATCGTGTAAATCTTCACCTTTCTCACTTCCTTCACATTCTGCTCTCCTTCAAATCAAATACTTTTATCTACTGTATACATGCTTGAGAGTGTTTGGGTGTCCATAATATAGTTGTGTTAATTGGTGCATTGTTATTAAATGGTCTAGGACAGCCGTGGGCAAACTACGGCACGCAGGCCGGATCCGGCCCGTTTGAAATGAATAAAACTATTGAAAAAAAAGACCGTACCCTTTTATGTAATGATGTTTACTTTGAATTTATATTAGTTCACACAAACACTCCATCCATGCTTTTGTTCCGGCCCTCCGGTCCAGTTTAAGAATCCATTGTGGCCCTCGAGTCAAAAAGTTTGCCCACCCCTGGTCTAGAACTTCAAAAGCATTAAAACAGTAAGCTCTCTAAAAATTAATAATGTACCTCACCAGCAGATGGCAGGCTTCACTCAGTTGTTTATATATGTGTACGGTCTGTACAAAGATTTTATAAACAAGATATTGAGAAAGGTTATTTCTTTTAGATTATAGAATTAGTCTTGGGGTAACTAGTCAGAAATCTAATAATGATCAAAGAGATATAGTCAATTACACTTCAGTTTTTGTTGATGTTGGTCTTGAGGGTATTGAATTTAGTGGGTGGGACACCACAGCATGAGGCAGGCACATGGGGGCTGGGATTAATCATACCTGGGAATATCTTCTTGGCCCTGGGAGAAAGGTTAGAAAAGGCTAGAAATTGTCAGGGCTCCAGCTAAAGGGGCTGATTTTGGTTCTCAGCTGGACTTCAGGCAGAAAAACCACACATGTGTTTTGGACTACTGTCAATGAGGCAATTGGAGACTGCAGTATTGGTGGGCACACACTGAGAGCTCTGAGATGAGTTTTGTAAGAATGATGAGTAACACATGATAGTGAGGAGATGGGCTCCCAATACAAGCACTGGCTCAGAAGGTAGGCCAATGGTATGCCTGTCAGGGAAGCACCTCTATCTCAACAGCCAAGCAGAGCTGTGTCTTCATGAAGTTCACCATACAGAACAGTCCCCATTGTGTAGTACAGGCTTAGACATGCACCTTGACTCTGAAACCAGTTTCTTTGAGAGCCCTGCTAAGCCCCTCTGGTGTCTTTCCAAGATAGGGCGCCTGAAGCATTCCCGATTTGATCCTAATAACATCCCCTCCCTGGATCCTGTTCCCTGTAAGCAGATGCTCTGTAGAAAATGGAATCATTTCCTAAATCGGGCTCTGCTCTATCTGAGGGTCCTCCTCTTGGGCTCTCTTGGTGCCCTTTCTCTTCCCTGGAAGGACCTCCTGATTCAGATGCTTGCCTGAACTGCGTCTGAACTTGTTCACCCTTGGAGGCTACTTTGGACGAACCTCCCAAGCCAGTTATTTAAATGCTTTTAATAAAGAAGTAAATTTTACTGGGCCATTTTCCACATGTTATTCAGCTGCTAAAATATTTCAATGACATAATAAATATTTGAAATTTTTGGAGGACTAAACATGTTAATGAACTTGAAAAAAATCCATCCGTATGGTTCAACAGCAGCATTTTAGATACTTCTCAGTACCGTCATGGAATTTTATTCATAATACCATGTTCTGCTTAATGTCAGTTCTTTATATTGTACTGTATTATTCATGTTAGTACAAGTTTGTGAGATTTGGTTTCAGCCCTCTGGTTGTGAGTCTGCTGTCAGCTAAATTTTATTGTCAATAAAGTATGATCTTTTTCCCTCTCAAAGTATATCACTAATGTGATCCAAACTTCTAATTATAAAATGGTCCTCAACTAGATGTTGCAGCTACATATGTTAGCATTATTGAATTATAAAACTGTTCTCTTACAAATATGGCAGCTAGGTATATTAGGCTTATGCTATCCGAACAGGTAAAGGCAAAATTACACATCATAGCATTCCTTATTGCCATTAAATACCTCTAAAATGTTTGTGGTGGTTTTTTTGTTTGTTTTTGCATTCTAGTATAAAGAGACCTTTCTTGGATAGGATAAATACGTAAAATCTGTAGTCATACTCAACACATTTTCTCTTCAATAAATTTTAAATAAACTATAAGAGACATAAAAGTTTTTGAGGTTTAGGGATTCAAATAGGGTATTGACGACAATTACAAAAGTCGACAGAGGCATTTTGTTGCCTGGCACCACCACTTTACAGATTTTGCTGAAATGTAGTGGCAAAATCTCAATATTTTTATCACTGTCATACTGTGATGGCCATGAGGATGTGAGTCCAGACTCCAACCACAGGGGCCATAATTATCCAAGTATCCGGACACCACAGTCTGAAATCTAGTGCTACCTTTGCATCAAGACCAGGCTGTCCCTGGGCTGCTCCCGGTCAGTGACGGAGCAGTAGGTTACAGAGGCAGAGCCATTCCAGGAGATGAGGGACTCCCTGATGCTCCCGATAGACTTGCCAAACGGTCTTTAACATCAAGGCAAT